TAGTAGTAGTAGTAGTAGTAGATTGGTTCTTCATTCCCAAAACACAAAAAAATATGTTATCTGGCGGAATGTTTTTTGTGGTACTAAAGAAACGACATACTCACTGATGAAAGTACATATAATCCCCTCCTCATTTAGAAATTTGGAATCATATGATACTAAGGTGCTCATACTAGTAGCAGCGCAAATATGGTTACAGCAAGAAGAAGATTCTTCTTCTTGCTGCGGCTTGTTCTTCTTGTTCTTGTTCTTGGTGTTGTTCATGGCGCCAACTGAAAGTGTTTACTAGTCAAGGATTCTAATAAATAGTACTATCTATCTCAAACACACAGATCATGGTTGTCACGAGGGAGCTACAACCAGAATCTGTGCATTTGAGATACATAAAACGAGTCAGCTGGTAAAAAAAGACATTTTAATGTTTTGGGAAGAATGAATCATTTGAAGTAAGGCAATCTATGTTTTCGGTCTGTCAGTCTATCGAAAGTAAATCGAACTACGGGAATCACCCTAATTTTTCTTCTATCATTTTACTGCACTTCGTTGCAAGAAAGAGTCGTCATTGCGAGCGCAGTGATTATTGATTATGGTTGAAGTGACACCTGATCGTGTCGTCGAGCTACCAAACATTAATCGAAATGTCCCTCCGCTAGAGAAAATAACAAATGAAAAATCTGGCATAATTAAATCAACAGTTGAAGTATTCTTCATTTCGAGAATGGTCATTAATGACTGGTCAAATAACGCCCATTGTACGCTTCCTCCCAGTAGGTTCTCACAGCTCTGTTTCATTCTAGTCTTGCAGTGAAGCCCTTACGAACAAAACAGGGAGTTGTACGGCACAAATTTTGCAGGCGAAGAATTGTAGTTATGTGCTTCTCAACTGCCTTGTCTTCAACACGACAGTTCGTTTGGGCATCGGAGGGGAGCAGAATTCATCGCACCTGGATTTTAGAAAATAGAGGAAGGCAATAACTTTTCACCCGCCAGATACAGCACGGTACAGAGACAACAAAACAAGAAAAGCCACTGCATTTGGAATTTTTCACTCGCATTATTGAACTTATTCTATCCCACAGAGTGCGAGTGCAATAGTTATTGCTACCAAGAATCGAATTGATTGTTTGGGGGTGAATGATAGGCTATAGTTTATTATGTTGCAGAAGTTCAGTCCAACTATAGCTTTACATCAATATCCCTGTGACAACGCGATAACATTTTAGAAAGACCGCACGAAAGGGGCGGTGGCAGCTGTAGAAATCTGAAGTTGCATACGATACGATGGCCGCAAAAGCAGAGAAAGCAGAGAAGAAGAAAGTGGAGCTGAAAAAACGACTCGCACGTCTGTTGCGCAATTCCGACAACAAGATTTGCGCGGATTGTCCCGAGAAGCGGCCGGGATGGATCTCTTTCATTCAACCACAGCAGTCCTTTGCGCTTGGTAGCAAGGTATTGGCATCCTTTGTTTGTTTGGAGTGTGCAGAATGCCACAAAAAGTTGGGAACGGACATTTGTTACGTTCGAAGTATTAAGGAAGACGAGTTCAAGAAAGACGAGATAGAACATGCGCAGCATTCTGGCAACGGAATAATCAACGAGATTTTTGAGGGCCACCTTCGAAAGTCTACAACTGACGAAATCGGTATCAAACCGCTGATGGACGCTGATGTATCGAAGAAAGAACGATATATACGGTCAAAGTATGTTGATTTGTACTTCTATCGGAAAAGTGCTCACTACAAACAAATAGCGGACATGAACGAAGTTCTTGCGGAAAGTCGCAAAACAAAAACAAAGAAAAAAGAAAAAAAATCGTCAAAACCAGCGGGTAAAAAACGGCGCAAGAGCAAGGAGCTGGGCGCATTTCTTGGCGAGAAAATGAACGACTCAAAAGAGTCACGCTGCTCGCTTACGGTGGGTAACACAGTAAGCACGCCGATTTCAAACGATGACGGCAATCACTTTTCTGGTTCAATCAATGTAGAAAACTCGGAAGATGAGCTAACACTTGTAACAGACCAAGGCAGTAGCATGGGGGAACCGCAGGATGCAAGGACGATAAAGCGGGGGAGAAGCAGAAGGAAACTGGGCAAAAAATCAATTAGTGAACTAGACATCCGGCAAACGCCAAATAGAAAGAGTCGAAGTCCGGGGAGGACCCAAAGAGACAGATCGCGTGGAAGACGGGGAAGGAGCGGGAGCAGGAGTCGTTCATCAAAAAACAATGAAAAGAATACGACTTTCAAAGACGACAACCGAAATCGGGAACGGAGCAAGTCAAGGAGACGATCGCTTTCTGAGGGTGCATCTGGAGAGAGCCAGGGCAAGTCAAGGAGACGGTCACTTTCGCAGGGTTCCACTTCAGAAGTCAGGAGTAAGACAAGGAGGCGATCGCTTTCTCAGGGTTCAACTTCAGAAATTCGGGAAAAGGGTCACAGGAGTTCAGTCCTTCGCCGTGAGCGTTCGAGATCGAGGTCGCAATCGCGAACTCGGAGGAAAAGTGATTCGAGCAAAACTGAAGATGTTTCTGAATGGCTTCACAGCCAGTCCGCTGATGAGCTACTGGCATCACTATCAATCACTGATTTGGTACTGGACAACCTTGGATCTCCAACACGGGATACAAAGAAAAAGGCCAGAAGTAAAGGACGGAGGACTTCTGAAGGTCTCAGTAGCAGTATGGATTACTTGGAGACCCCAGCACGAGATGAGAACAAAAAGGCGAAAATCAGGCAGCGGAACACCTCAGAAGACGCCAAAACCACTAGAGATAATGCCAATCTCGAACAGAATTCTGAAGAGAGTATCGACGACAATGGTTTCAAGCTGATCGATTCTTCAACGTTTTGCACCAAAAGAAGTAGTTTCGGGAATTCTTGGAATAGCAGTGGATCATCATTCACAAAACCGTACAAGAAAAAGGGGGTTGGCTTGTTTCACAACCGGCAGGGGCAATCAGTCGAATTCGAAGGTTCGACGACTATAAGGCATAATCGACGAGAAAGGAAAAGTGCAATCTTTGCAAGTTTGGAGCGAGAGAGCAGCTGTGAGCATTTTGAGGCCTTGAACGACCACAATTCAGACTCTTTTGAGTGGGAAACTCTTCAACGATCGTCGAATAGCGATAATTCAGGCTCTTTCGTGCGGGCAGCTCCTCGAAGATCAAGAAGCAGTGATACGCTCATGCGCGTAGCTCCCCGAAGAACGAGGAGCAGTGATGCAATTGGAATGCAGAGTTCGTCGTCAAAGATGAGAGGTGTCTCGATGAAGTCACGAAGTGTGCCAATTCGATCCAGGAGTAGTGCTACCGTTCCAAAAACAACCTTGAAGATGCCTGAATGGAAAACCTACAAATCTAGAACAAGTATCAAGAACGAAACAAAACTTCTCAAGGAAGAATGGGAAAAGTTGAAGAAAGAAAATGAGGATGTTTTTGTTTCATTTGAAAAGAGTTTTTCAAAATTTTGAAGGCCGGTAGTATCCTTTCATAATTTTCTCTCCAACACAGTTTCCGTCGTAAAATGAACGGCCGACGCAGTCGCGTTGTCATGAATTGGGGGCTAAATACGGCTTTCGTGTCACGTGAAGTGGCTCGCATTGATAAATTCTGTCTGATGCTACGAAGCCTGCATTGAGTGTACTAAAGTGATACGAAGTTGTATTCATGAGATGTATTTTTGGAGCGAAAACAGCAATAACTGAACCTACTCTGTCAAAACTAGAAGCAGAAGCATTGCCAAGTTATGCCAATAATAGTAGAGGTATAGAAGTATTTTTGTTTCCCCAGCACATTAGATCTCACTAGCTATTCGTGATTTACCCCCACAGATCAAGGCCATGCTCTAAGCCTTAATTGTACGAAGTACTTCGTACAATTCAGTAACTGCTTCGAGTACGTACTCGAAGTACTATTAATGGGTACGAGCGATACGTATGACCTAGTCATAACGGTACGTACTATATGGTACACCAGATGTCCACTTGGCTCTTAGCTCAGCATGCATGGCATTTTTTTCATTATTTTTTCTTAGTACGAATTCACACAACGTACCTACGGCACGTACAATAACTCGTACCGGTACAATGGAAAATTGATGCCGTTCGCGCGGTCATTCGTACCCGTACCGTAACTCTTACTCGATGGATAGGTTGTTTCTACCGCACAAAAAGTTAGTACAAAAAATGCGCCATTGAAATGCGCGACTTCAAATTTCTTTGACTAGTTCGACTTGCGAAAAACATACCTTCTACCTCTTTTACTCAAAAAGAGCGCAGCATGCTTTTTGCCTCGTAGCTGCTCTCTGGACGTCTTGTCCCTTCCGCTCGGATTGCCAATCTGTACATAGCAGTGGTAGCCTAACTGAAAGAGGACGCTGAATTGAATCGAAGTCGACTAAAGACATACACTATCACCATGAGCGACGCTGTTATCATCAAGACCCGCAAATTCAAGCGCAATCCGCTTCTCTCCCGAAAGCAGGTGTGTTTTTCGTAGATTTGATGGCAGGCTATGGAGGTTGTGGTCATCAGCGTCCTTCCGCGAAAGACGATGCGACAATGGAAAAACAAAGCATACCCCAGCGGCGCTTTCGTTGATCCTTAATCAGATTTTGATTTAGATTATTGCCGGCATGACGAAGACAATACATATCGTGGATGGTTCAACTTCCAATTTGATGCATTTTCTCACCATGATCGCTTTCCGTTCTCTCTCTGTCCCGCTAGATGATCGTCGATGTCATTCACCCCGGAAGGGCGAATGTCTCCAAGGACGAGCTTGCTGAGCTTTTGGCTGGCATGTACAAGGGGGATGCCAAACTTACAACTCTTTTCGGATTCCGAACCAAATTCGGAGGTGGTAAGAGCACCGGATTCTGTCTGATTTACGACAACGAGGAATCCATGATTAAGTTTGAACCTAAGCACAGAATGGTCCGAAAGGGTGTTACAACCTTGAAGGAAACATCCCGAAAGGCAATCAAGGAAGCCAAGAACAAGGGAAAGAAGATCCGAGGTACCGGAGCCAGTATTGCCAAGCACAAGGCCAAGCGTGCCGAAGCTTCCGATTAAAACAATCGTGCTACTTCTATTTAACAAAACCCTTTACAATACACCTGACGCCCATGGCTGGAAATATTTGAGACTAATGCTGTTTTTCTTCTCTGATTGCATTGAGGAACTAATTTTACCAATTTCGTACGTACGGTTGTTGGAAAGGAAGAGTCTCCGTTCAAAATTATCCCCCAATTAATTGTAGTTCGTCAACTCGTCGATGCACTTAAAAATTAAACGATTGTACACAAATCAAGTACCAGATTCAGTGAAAGTGAATGACCAAATTGTTCTGCTCTCAGACATATGATCAAGCAAACGTCATATTAGTTTTTGTCGTCAATGAACCACACTTTTCCTCCCTCCACAATTTTCGAAACATCTGGACCAACTCTAGCAACCGTGAATTACTTTTATCTCTTGCAGATCATTGGATTTCAATGGTAGTAGTATGGCTTCAATGTCATTTGTGTTCTACTATGCTATGGACTTCAGTACAACATGCTATTTGTTGTTCTTTCCCCTCTTTCGGAACATTGTTCTTCTTCTTGAGGTAGTAGGAGCCTATTCTTATGATAGAGGTACCAGTAGCCTTCTAGCACCACACTGTACCATGCAGCACCTCCATCATTACCGAGTACTCCAATTGTTTCTTCTTGTGCAGAGGCATGCATGTGGGAGCAGTGAGGATAGTGATTCTATATCAACATTCCCAGCAAGTACTCCTTTAAGTGTAGACCGATCATTCAGATACCGTACAATACGATTTAACACAGAACCACCAATACACGTCTGGTACCATACGTGAGAGTAAGGTGCATGCTAGATGCGAGTACGTACCGTACTTGTTACGAGTACGAGTACTTCTACTGTTTATCGTCGTCTTCTCCATACCTTTTGGTTTCCGGGTTGATTCTACCCCTAATATTCCAACTACGGTACATGCATCTTCCCCCTAAATATGACAGATGACACGCGTCTTGCACAAAAACGCTTTCCTACTGGCCACCATGTTTTCACTCAAAACAATACTGATGTCAGGCATTCAAAATCCCTCTAAGTAAACTGCGTTCGGATATTACCATCAGAACATCAACAATGAAGATCCACGAGCCCATCAACAAATGTTTTAACAACCAAGTGATGGCAGAGAGGGCTTTGCGAGTTGCACTCAACATCAATCCAATATTCAAACTCAAATTTGACGAAGGATAGATTTAAAAAAGAAGAATAAACACTTTTCAACTCTGGTGTACAAACAAGAGGATTATACTCTATTAGCAACTCCAAATCTACTAGAATACGATGATGTCTACGATGCGCTTATCGGCAGCTGCCAACACCATCGCTCGGCGTTTGAAGCCCTTTGGTTCTTCGTCGAAACTTCCAATGACAATGGCTTCTCGATCTCTATCTACTGCCCCTAAGGAAAGCTTGAACGACATGCAGGTGGTCATTGATCGCTACAATCCAGCTGACACTGCCGCCAACCGCCTCCCCAACGACGCTCTTGATCGCAACGCTCTCTATGAAACTGAGGAAACGCGCGAGATGGGGGGAATCACTGCTTCCGTTCACAGCAACTGGACCAAGCAAGAGATTGCCGAGATTTATGACCTGCCCTTTCATGAACTCATGTACCGGGCGAGCACTGTTCACCGCATGTACTGGGACCCATCGGAGGTGCAGCAATGCACTTTGCTCAGCATCAAAACCGGAGGATGCACCGAAGATTGCTCTTATTGCTCGCAATCAACCCGCCACAAGACTTTTGTGAAACCTACCCCGACCATGAAAGTTCAGGAGGTCTTGGAGGCAGCTGCCAGAGCCAAGGAGGCGGGATCGACACGATTCTGCATGGGTGCCGCCTGGAGAGAGCTTGGCAACAAGAAGAACGCATTTCGCCACATTCTCGAAATGGTCGAAGGGGTAAATGGTATGGGACTGGAAGTTTGTTGCACACTGGGTATGTTGACGGCTGAACAAGCCAAACAGCTCAAACAGGCAGGTCTTTCGGCCTACAACCACAATTTGGATACCTCTCCTGAACATTACCCAAACGTTATCACAACGCGCAGTTATGAAGATCGTTTGCAAACCATTGCTAACGTCCGAGATGCTGGTATTCAGGTCTGCTGCGGTGGAATTTTGGGTTTGGGAGAAGAAGATAACGACCGTGTTGGACTTCTTCATGTTTTGGCAACTCTTCCCGAACACCCTGAATCTGTCCCCATCAACGCCCTGGTTTCTGTCGAAGGGACCCCCCTCGGCGAAGACGACGACATTGGAAAAGTCGACGCCTTTGATATGGCCCGTATGATCGCAACGGCTCGCGTCGTCATGCCCCGAACCTTGGTTCGATTGTCGGCAGGTCGAATGTCCTTCAGTGAAGCGGAACAATTCTTGATGTTCCAGGCTGGTGCCAACTCCATTTTCAACGGTGACAAGCTGCTCACTACAGCAAACCCCGAATTCGACGCCGATCAGGCTATGTTCGAGAGATTTGGCTTCAAGGGCAAGCCGGCCCACAAGGGACCTCTTATGGCTCCCTCGGAGAGCAGTGGCCAGGTCCATATCACCCATGTTACAGCGAACGAGCAACAATATGCTTGAATGTTGCAATTCGTACTGCCATCAAGTGATTCACGTCTTCTCGCGAGAATCCAGGATCAAAAGAAGGCAGAAGAAGCCCAAGAACATTCTAATTTTGAACGAGAGCTACAAATCACCACCAACCAATTTACGTCGAAGCATTATCACCAGTGCTATAATCTTTTTAGGCTATGACTGTCATGAACTCATCGCAAATTTAATTAATAGGAGTTTACAATACGTCTTTAGTTTGACATGTTGTGCTCAACGGAGTCAACATCATCCAATTCTTCTAGGGCATCAATGATATCCATGTTCAGTTCAAAATCTTCCTCGCTGACCTCCACTGGTGCTTTGGTAACCCACGTCAGAGACATTTTAGCGTTTTCGAAACCCATTTCCTTGATAACGTCAAACATTTTTCCAGAATCTGAGGGTTCCACCAATACCAACGAACTTCCTTCTTCGTCTCCCTCCTGCAGAATGAAGTCCTCGATATCCGCCTCAATCGCGGCATCCAAAAGTGCCTCTTCGTCAACTTCAGCATCAACTTCAACTATTCCCTTGCGGTCGTACATGAATAAAACGGATCCCGATTCGGCAATCTTTCCATTTCTTTTGTTCACGGTCGATTTTACATCTGCGTTGGCGCGGTTTGCATTATCCGACAACACAGTAATGACGAGAGATGCTCCCCCAAATCCATATGCCTCAAATGTAGATTCCGAGAAATCCGCAGTGTTTGCTTCAGAAGCTCGTTTGATGGCACGATTAATGTTCTACGACGGCGATGACGATATAAGAGGGTGTATGAAGAAACCATAGTAATCGAAAGATCGTTTAGTGACAGCTTGAAATGAGTCGCTTTCTACCTGTTTCCAGATTATGCCCGCGCAATCAAAAAATACTTTTGGGTTTGTGCACGAAGTTCTTCTGTACTTACATCGACAGGCACATTGTTGGCTTTAGCTTGTTTGACAATTTCTGCAAGTTGTCTGTTGGAATCCAACGATGGGGATCCTCCCTGTTTGACAGCCATGGTGATCTTCTTTCCAAATACTGCGTTGACCTTGGCCTTTTTGGCGTCCGTTTTGGATTTGGTAGCGGCTCGCACGGCAGCGGCACGTCCCATGAACAAGGGGCTGACTCTGCTAGCATGTTCCGAAATCGATGGGGCGGCCGGAGTTCGAGACACGGGCGAAAACGCTGCTGTGGAAGAAAGCAGCGTCGTCAACGACAATAGAGCAATTTGCATCTTCATGGTACCGCGGTGAATGATATTGGAAGCACAAGAAAGCTTGAATGCAGGTGTGATTTTGTGAAAGAATCCCTGAGGTTGTTTTGGTGAAGAGCAGCCCCAACTGTTCCCTCTGAAGGTACTTGGTACGAGTACGTACGTACACGTGAGGTAAAACGTTGTTTGCATGGAAGAATTAGGTTAGTCTGTTCACTAGCTGCTAGGGACTCAATTTAACGAACCAGTGCGGTTTGATGGGGCTGCCCGGGAAAATAAAACGTCATCATTCAAAATCGGATGATGATTCGGGACTGACCTCGTCTTGACTATTGACTAAACATCAACGTCTACTGCAAGTACGACTATGTAGGTACATACGTGCGTAGGTACGGACATATCGTTATGTCGTTACGAATTACGAACACGCATTATTGTATAATATGTATTCATATAACATATGTAACATATGCATAGTACCCCGGGACCATCGTACGCACACTGCCAAGCCAATTAAGGCAAGTTCCACCCAGTGGGCGAGGACACATGTAGTCAAAAAGAAAAAATGAAAAGAAAGAAAAGCCAAAAAAAAGAAAAAGAAAAAAGGAAATGTCTCACTGCTTTCACCAAATTACAGCTGGTCCCACCCAAAGGAGCAGCTGTTTCTTGAGTATCTTCTTGAAGAAGAAACTGATAATAAATCTCCTAACTCTGTAACCGCTGGTCACGAGGTCAAATACTGGGGGTGTTGCTGTTTCTGTCCACCACATAAGACAGGAACAGCAACAATTGTGCTGTTGCTTTCCGGCACAGAGGTCGGAAACAACAGCAATCATGACCAAAAAGCACTGGGGCTTCTGCTCCTTGAGAACTGGGGATGGATCCAGCTGAGACAAAGCACTCAACTGGAGTAACTGCTGGGGTTGGTGCTGTTGCGTTCCGGCATGAATGTCGGGCGGAACCAACAGCAACCTGACCAGAAAACTCTTCCGGTCTGTAAAATGCTGGAACTGCATGGAGATGCTGGGGAATCTTTTATTAAAAACTGAGTATGATGTAGCATATACTCCAGGCGTTGTTCCTCACTAGGTCTTGGTTGAAAACTGGGGACTGGGGTTGGTGTTATTGCATTCCGACAGGAGTGTTGGAAACAACAACAATSGTGACCGGAAAACTCTTCCGGTCCGTAAAATACTGGAACTGCATGGAGATGATGCTGGGGAATCTTCTTTAAGAACTGAGTATGATGTGTGATGTAGCATATACACCAGGCGATATTCTTCAAAGGATTGGTCTAAGTTGAATACTGGGGGCTGGGGTTGGTGTTATTGCATTCCGACACTGATGTTGGAACCAACAACAACCTGATCAGAAAACTCTTCCGGACCGTAAAATACTGGAACTGCATGGAGATGATGCTGGGGAATCTTCTTTAAAACTGAGTATGATATAGCATATACTCCAGGCGTTGTTCTTCAAAGGAAAAGTCTTGGTTGAATACTGGGGGCTGGGGATGTTGTTCCTGCTGTCCGGCACAGATGCCGGAAACAACTTCAACGCCGGAAGATACCACTGGGTGCTTCCAGAGGAACAGGGGGGATGGAACTGTTACCAGCTGGGGCAAACCACCACCAGCTGGGGGATATCGATGTACTTGGAATAGGCTTGGTTGCATTGCTTGGGTGCTTGTTGAATGGAGCCAAGGAGGAGGATTCTCCCCTTTGGAAGGGGGTGTCACCATGGTGGATTCGGAAGCCGGAAGGAGCTTGTCAGGTAGGAATGTACGTAGGAATCAGTAGGAAATCTAGGGGATAATTTTCATAAGCGAAGTGTAATTTCGTGCATTTGAAAAAGTTTTATTTGAATATTATATAGTCGTGGAGCATAGAATCTTGCACTGATGGTTTCATAAAGCCTAGTACTTCCACAATGACCCAATAAGAGATGATACCATTTGAGGGTGCTGTCTACGAGTCCATCGGGCAAGTAGATCTTCCAGTTATTATCATTTGTGGTTACTGTGAGTAACTCAAAGGTGCCTATCTTCCTCTTGACATAGTGTTTTGGATTGGATTCAAGTAGTTGCTGACACTGAGGATCCCTGAGCTGATAAGTATAAAGGTTTGCATGTGTTATTGGATTTTCCATCTCTGATACTGGTGGCAAATTGAGTAAACATTCATATAGTTCTGGCTCCAAATAGAAAACATCTTCCAGATCTACTTGGGCTGTCAATTCCTTGAAATTTACCAATGTTCCTTTGTTCTGCTGTTTCCACTGTTCTCTGGTGTTTCTCCCTATTCTCAACCTATCAGGGCCTTTCCACGTGTTATTCCAATTCTGTCTCAGTTGATGGGCCAAGACCATGACCCACTTCTCATCTATTTGTCCATCCATCAATTTCAAGAAATTATTTATTGCACCCTCAAAGGCTTCCTGAATATAGAACAATTCCTGTACTCCATATTGTCCAGAGAAAACTAAGCAGCAGTTTCTTTTCAGTATCATAGCAGGGATTTGGATTGTTCTTAGATTTGATCCTCTTCCGGTGGTCTCTATTCTGGCTGGATGATCCACAAAAAGGGAAACCTTCTCAATGTCACTCACCTTTTGCTCCATGTACAGAGTGAGGTCCGCATCAACTCGGAATAGTGGTCCTGGCTCATTTGCAGCTATTTTGCAGATCGTTTGGTTATCTTCCATGGAGGCGTTGGTCCCGGCAACCCGTAGGGAATCTAGCAAGGGGCCTGCGATAGTTTCTAGCCCCTCGTGCTCAAGCCAGGGCTGTATGATGGTGAAGGCCTCTCGAGGCGAGAGTCTCTTGTTGAGCAAGGGCATGAGCTCGAAAGGAATGAAGAAAGTGTGTCTGCACTGGAGTTCTTTGGTGTTACTGTGTCCTCCCCCTTCGGGAACTGGGCTGACGAAGCTCAGTTCCGGATGGGCTTCCAAAAATAGCCTATGATGCAGGGGTGTGTACACTCGTCGCCTGTTGGGTATGAGGGTGAACATGCTGGTGGTTACTTGCACCAGCTCCCCCCTCCCGGAGACTACGTCATTGAGGTAACCAAAGAGTTTATTGGCGTTTCTAGAAGGGGTCAGTAGGTTGCCAGGATACTTCCGTATTCCGTGAATTACGTGTAGCCGTGGTACTGAACTCTCATCGTTAACGAAGATCCCTACTCCTCCAACTGCCTGTGCCTTGAAGAGGTTGAGGACTTCTCCCAGAACCTTGTTGACAGAAAGTGGTGTAGGATGTGAGGCAAATCTTCGATAGATTCCCGCGTAGGCGCTGTGTCGTCGACTCGTATCAGCGCCGAAGGGATTGGCGGCTGGATCCGCGAACAGATCCACATACTGCAAGGGATTAGGGTCTGCTGTGCTACTCATGGTCCTGGTCCCTGTTGGTTGCGCGATCCGTGAGGGAGTGGGGGCGCGCCAGGGTAGGCAAGGCCCCAATCTCAACTGAAGAGCGCTCTTAAGACTACTATCTTACTACTGTTTCTTCCGTATCTTGGTCACTGCTGGTAGTAGCAGGAGTAGGCTTAGTGAGCTGTTGAGCTTGCTGAGCTGCAAGGCGCACCTCTTGTTGCTGCTGCTGGACGCTTAACTCTAGTTAAGTGTTTACTTACTAGTACTACTGTACTAGTACTGGAGCTGCAGTCTCCTCCACTCATTCTCACGTTGCGCGCGCTCGGCGCGCGTTATTCTGGTTCAGTCGCGTGGGACTCGCTACTTCGATATCCGACTTTGTGAGGTGACTAATTGTCTGGTTTCCGTCTTTCGTACCGGTATTTACGTCGTTTCCAATACTCTATGAGTAAGTCGCCACCACAGGAACCGTTAAAAGTTGCAGATTCCAAACTCCCCCTGCGCGCGCCGAGAGGGTAGGTTTTCGTTCACATTTTCGTAAATTTGAAAGAAAAAATGTCTTGATCGTCAAAACAATATCGTCAATAGCACTACAGTGTTGATTGGCGGGAGTATAACACGAAATATACAAGAAATGCCTCAAGCCGAGAACACCAAGGTTTGGAATGAAGATCTGGTCACTGCACTTCGTTGTCGTGAAGAAAAATGCAGGCAGCAGTTTTCTCAGAGACAATATCTATGGCGAGATGGAGCCGCAGCAATCGCATCAGTTCGAAAGGATATTTATCAGTACAAAAATGGAAGAATTGTAGCTCTACCAAGAACTCTAACAAATGTTGTTGAAGAAGAGTGTCGCAGAATCATTGAAGGAGAACGAACAATTCTTCCAGAAGGGTATCTTCCTACGACATTGGATGAGCAGAACATGTCACGAGGACCTGTCGCAAGGAAAAGTGTCAATCCTTATCATAAAGATCCATACTTGCAACGAATTAAGATGAGAGGAGGCTCTTATGCCATCTTGATGGCACTCCATTTCTCAGAGGCAAAGGTAATGACACAAAAACAAATTTGTAACGCCGCACAAAAATATTGTGACGAAGAAATGGAATCAAATTTTTATTCGGGAAGATCGTACGGTGCGTGGAGCAGCAAGAAAACATTGGTGAAACATGGTCTAATAAAAGAAAGCAGAACAACTCAAATGGGGCGACATGGACAGGTGTGCAATGGAGTATTTGAATATTCCTTGACAGAGGATGGTAAACTCTTCATAGACGCTCTCCTCGTAAAATTCCCTCAATCAAGCGAAGAAAGAAGCACTTTCCGTGCAAATGACTCAAATGCAACAATACACCATAAAAATGACCTATATCAGACGAAAGAAAAATCAACTATCAACATCAAGTTGGGAAAGAAATTTATCGACAAAGAGAATTTTGGGCGCAATGGAATCAAAGTACCAAATCGATTGAATGCTAATGAGAAGATCGAAGACCACCATTGCCTTTTGCTTTCAGACAGTGATGAAGACGATCACGACGACTATGATGATCACGGGATGCTGAACAAAAGTGGAAATCATCGTTATGATGAACAAGAAATAATGTCATCAAAATCGCAGTGTCATGTCATTGATCTCTTATATAGCAGCGATGAAGAATCAGTTTCTGAGTTGTTTGAATATCACCAGATAAAAAGGAACGAAACATTCGACAGTCAGGTCCGCGGCTTGCAAAAATCACATGAAAATATTCTCAATCCAATTCCATCCTCATCGGTCATAAAGAAAGAAGT